CAAAGGTGGTGAATGTCAGTATGAATCAGATTTGCTCCACGTTTACCATTTCTGGATGCTTGTATCACCCGAGAAGAGAGCAAGTATGTTACTGACAAGCTTCACAAGCCAACATATAAGTTGCTGCAGTTCAATTCCAACCACGCATATTGCGCGAAAAAGAGCTCCTCTAGCTCTTTAGCCAGCAGATGCTTCAGAAAGAGTTCAGACGACGTTTGTATCTAAAAGAAGTTGACTTGCATACAGGAGTGAAAAAGGCTACCGTAGATGACTGATGGAAGAAGCAAGCAGTAAAAGAGAAGTTGCAAGTAAAGAGTATACGCAAAGTAAAGCCAGCATTGTTGTTTCATACCTGCAACATTTAAGCGCGTAGTCTCAGTGAATCACCCAAACGCTTGCACTAGGGCTACTACGGCTAATAGTCAGATCCTAAAAAATTTTCCGGAATCAGCCAATACATTTCAGATCATCGATCGAAAATCCAAACAACAAGGTTAGACATATTATATACCTTCGATCTGCTTGCGGTCTCAACTACATAAAGAAGCCGGCAACGAAACGTAGAAGAGAGGAGAATGAACACCTCAGAAACCTCAAAAAATACTACAAAGCCTCTCTACGTCAGGATGGACACAGATAGAAATCAAAAGGGAGAAAACAAACGAAAGATCTGCAGTGGTGGCGGAGGCATGTGAAAGAAATTCAGCTGCTGGTGATCGTACTATTATGAGACAAAATGGAATGAATGATGGAAAGAGCAATTCTTAAAGCCACCAGATAAAGGAAGCCTAGACCTTCGACAGAACTACTGCATGAATAAGGGTATTAATATCGTATTATGTTAGCACTGGAATGAAACTGTGACAGTTTCCACCAACTAGGACTAAATCCTAAATAGTGAATAGTGGTTGTTACGTGATGTAAAATTCTGTTTTGTTGGATGGATCATGGATCTAGCATGGTAGCAAAACAGAACATGGTAAACAAGGGCTATGTATAAAATGAGAGGCGAGGAACCAAAGCAGAACAAAAGATGAGGGCGCAAACGGAGAAAACAGACGAATGCCCAGAATATCGATTAATGGATAAGGACAAAACAGTTTGCAAAAGACTACCGCGATGACTTAATGAACTCGATGCTTGTGGCTATGAGTTCTACGAAGCCAAATGTACGGTAATTCATAGGCATAACGTAGAGCAGCACCAATCTGTGTTCGAAGCTGCTAATAGATGCGATGTGGGAAACGCATTGCATAAGAATAGCTTTGGTCTGTCGTCGCGTCGGCTTTCTTGTGAACCACCCAGCGATTAGTCGTTGATGTCCACCGAACATACATACAGACACGTACTGCATAAACAGGATCAGAATCAATACCATTCGTGCTTGTTTACGACGACCACCAAGTGGCATCGAATGAATATGCGCCGCCGTTGCGGAAGACACATATGGCTGCCCCTGAGACGAAGGTCGAGGCTACTGGCGATAACTGATTACCTTATAGACTTGTAAGCATGTTTTAGCGAATTAAAGTTGTTCGCCTTATTGTTGGTCTTTTAATACTTCTTTTCTTCCTCAGGTCCATCGATCGAATTGGTAGTAAGAACGCTGATGCATGAGCATTAGACGGAGGCTTTGCACTGCAGCAGCCCAAGGTAGCCAGATCAGAGAGCACCGAGCTCGCAGTGGAAAATCTACAGATTAAAGTCCTTGTCATGTGATGATCACTGCCTTTCGAGGGTGATCGAAGGCAGATCAGAGAGGGAACACCGGTTCGTGGGAGGGATTCAGGAAGTCATTCGCTTTCAGAAATAAGGCTAGCTAATTACACGCTAACGAAAATCAGCGGAAAACGAGTCATAAATGAGACCCGTCATTTCTATGAGTAATATACCGATAATGACATCTTAATGGATTTACAAACTCTAGTTTCCGTTTCTTCTGCGGTCACAAACGTAATTTATTTTTTGTCATCCACCCGTTTTGACAACCAACCCACGAGATTTCTCTGACCTCGTCTCGGTTTTATTTTTCGCACGGTCTAAGAAAATTTTACACTCTGCCATGTACCCATGGCTAAAGTGTCTGCTGGTTTTTTATGCTTAAAAGTGGTTGGTAATAGCAACGTTGCAACAGATTTCAATTTTTTATTTTATGTGCCATACTTTTTAATTAGCAGAGAAAACGCCTCAAATTAGTGTTTGATTCCAACGGTCCGGGTGTCAGTTCCAGAAGAGAAGGAGGAGCTTCTCTTCTGATGTCAAAATATGCATAGTTCATTCGACCGTACGAGTAGAGTAAGAGAGAGTACGTACTTAGACTAAAATTGAATGAAGTACGCTCTGGAGGCTGGAATGATAGTTTATTTTCTATGCTCGAGGATCAGACAAAAACAGTGATTCACCAGTTAAAGGAATACTCCTTTGGAAAAGGATATGATATTTCTTGTATTCTTGTATCGTTTTCGAAATGAATTATATTTAGTCAGAACACTTGAAAAAGTAGTGTGAAATTTTATTTGGGTTCTGATATGTTTCCTACAGTAAAAACTGTCACAGTAGAGACTCCAAGGTTGGTGATGAATGAGACTGCGCTCATTATGGAACTGACGATCAACCTTAATTTGCTGAAGGTCCCATCGATCTGTCATCAAATGCCTTAATCGCTTTTTATGGTGAATAGAACTGGAATTCCAGATGTAAATTATACCGTGCTCCTCCTGACCGCAATTGCAATTCGTGGAAGAATTGCTAAAGTCAGTTAGATCAACCGATCGGTACTCAGCCATTGCACGTTCTAAGGCAAATACGGAAATATGCATTAAAGCATGGAATACATTTATGACAAGGGTTTTTGCCATATTTTCCTTTGATCCTAAGTCAATCCCTCAATTTTAGAAATTGAGATTACGGTGATCATATTTCATTCAGTAATGGTCCTTTGAACAGCTGCCATCGAAATGAGGCTGGAAAAGTTCGAAACGCTATAATTCAAGGTACCTTCCCTTGTGGACCACTCTTTTCTTAAGCTGAACAGACACAACGATAAGAACGCGTAATGTACATAGTCATCAAGTTTCAACAGACACTTGAGAAGATACACTTCCTTCTCAAAGCATACAGTATGGGCGCTGAAATGGTATGCCTACGGTCAGACGGCATACATGTGTTGGTCGTGGGAATCGAGCTCCTGCAACATGCCGCTTAACGGAAGACCAAGACACTGGGAGAAATCTCTTGAGTCCACTAGCCTCGTGATTTAACAGAAACAGCAGGATGTTACGATGAGTGGACAGGTGGATGAATGAATGAAGCAACGAATGAATGATTGAGTGAGGGGGATGAATAAAAATAAAGTGCGAATAAACGAATGAAAGTAGAAATAAATTCTTATGCCAAGAGGTAAAAATAAATGTAGCTTTCCGACGGTGTATATGACAAAAATGGCATACCCACATGCACGGACTTTGACTTTGGCTTTGCGGCATAGAACAGTGTAGAAGAGACTGGTCAATTCTGCAGTCCGTTGAGATCAAAAGGGCGTGAACACGGTTGCCAAGGCGGATCGATGCTCATTACTTATATACAATAAATACGAGTTATGAAAATGCAATTTTGACCACTCTGTTTGTGCAGACAATCAAGGAAACGCTTTCCTTGGAGCTGGCTGCTTTGCTGTCATCCTTCCAAGCAATTTCTTGCTGACGAGCAACA